TTTTAAACCAAGTCTCAGATATCAAAATAACATCAATGTTTTCTTCATAAATAAAATTCTCTAAACTTTCTCTATTTGACGGTAAAGATCTTGCATTCCATTGCATAATTTTAATATTTTTATTTTTAAATTTTTTCATATTTAAAATATTAGTTTTATTTTTTTCCATAATAACTCTACTTGCCATAATTGTTTTGTTGTTGAATTTATTATATTTTAAACTATTATTCCGTACCTGTATCTTCAATAACATTGCCTATTTTATTAGTTTCCATCACTGCTTTTTCAGTACACAATGATTCTATTTCTTCTTCCAGGGCTGTCCATATATTCTCTGTGTTTATCTCTGTTTTAAAACTTAATCTGTGCCTTATTTTGTTAAAAATTTCTTTGAATTGTTGCTTCATCTTCTTTTTTTTTCTTTTTCATCTTCATTTTTATTTGGGTTATTTTCTTCACTATTGTATTTCGTTACTTCCTTTCTCCTTTCCTTGTATTCTTCTGCATTTATTCTTTTTTGTCTTCCTTCAATTCTTAATGTCGTGTGCTTAGGTTTTCTAATTTTCAATATATTTTCTTCATTAATTTCTACTTCTTTTTCTTTAATATGATTTAACATTTCAAACTTGTTATTATTAAATCTGTTTAATTGATTATCTGATTGTTTAATTAATGAAGGAAATACATTTTGATAATCTCTGTTATAAAATTTGGTCTGTACTATATCTGCATATGTTCTCTTACGCAATATTTGCTTAGCTTCACTTATAGAAATATTCTGATATGCTTTCAACTCCTTTAATTTTTTATTATATAAATACGTTTGACAATTTCTATCATTCGCTTGATGATTATTTCGGCATAAAGCACATATTTCTATTTGGCTCACACATTCTTTTACATCATGTTCATCCGAACATTTTCTACATCTTTGCCTGCCCTGGCACTGAAGACGAATATGGCCAAACCTCCAGCATTTGTGGCACTGTATAACATTTTCAATAAAAGGTTGAACCTCGCAAGCTACTGAATGAATAAATACATTTTCTGGAAGATAACTGCCCCTGAACCAAATCTTCACTCTTTGTGTTTTATAGCTGCTATTATATGCCTTTTTATTTTTAATACACTTCACTTTAATAATTTCAACATCCGTTTTAATGCAACTCATGATTTCATCTTCTTCAATCTCTGGGTCTACATTAAATATAATACCTATTCTCGTAGTTTTATGCTTCGGAATATAAGTTTTAATATTATACTCGTCCAGTAATTTCTGTTTTACCACTGTATTAGCACTCTTCCAATCATTAAAACATATTTTTATTTTATTTATACCTATAGCTGCAACATTACTTATCTTATTACTAACACTTGACACTTTTGTATGTAAAATTCTTCCTAACGCCATTGGATGTAGTCTACCCAAATTTTTATCTTTTGATTCTGCATATATAACAAATGGACCTTCGTTCCTTTCATCATAATAGAAAAACTCCTCTTCATAGGTTTTTTTATTTAAATTACTATCCATTTCTTCATTTACTTCACTTGCCCAATCGATATTTACATCGTTTTCATTAATTCCATCATTATTAGTTTTCTCTAAACGTGTTTTGTTAACTTGTACTTCAATTTCACCTTTTTTCCTTATCACACTTAACTTTTCGCGATTCTTATCAAATATTTTATTACTTAACAATCTTCTTTTCTTTCTAAAATCTATTACTCCCTTTTTAATACTTTTCTTATTACTTTTTTTATATTCACAATTTTTAACTAAATTAATTTCACTAACTTTTGTTTCATTAATATTATTATCCAAATCATTTATTTCATAATCACTAATGTCATCCATTTCGTATTCAAACTCTTCTATTGACGTAATTCTGTTATCAACTGGATTCAATTCACAATCCTCAAAATCATGATGACCACTGTCATCGTCGTCACTTTCCTGGCCGTACTGGCCAGATTCCATTGTTCACTTACTGACTCACTCGCTCTTATCAGATTATGTAAATTTATTTACCGATGTGTATCGCACGAATGCTCGATGCAGACTGTAATATATAATTAAATAACTTAATTTAATTTAGAATACTGAAGTTTGTATAAACTATTATTTTTATGAAAGAAAATTTAATTAGAAATAACCACATAACTATTAATAGTTATGTTATAACAAAAAACTAAAAAATTATTTATTAACTTCCCTAAGGAGAAGTTTATGTTTTCATCAAAAAATCCGATTCGATCTGAAAAGCCATTCGATGTATCTCGATTAGGACTTTAATATATCTTGATGAGGATGTATCTCGATGATCACTTTAGCGCGATGTTTAGCCAAGCCGTTTCTTTGTGAATAGCAGAAAAGTGAAAAAATTTTCGTCCACGTTTTCGCCCGCAATTCTGAATCAATTTTGAAAATTCAAAAACCGTTCGAAAGATATTAGTTGGGAATCGACTTGATTAGTTTTTGGTAAAGATAGACCAGATGTTTTTTTTTGACTGTAGATACCATAGTAGATCATACTAAAGTTGTTTAATTTTAAAAATCAGTCAAAATTTCAAAAATTAGTTTCGTTTTTTTGACGTTTGTCAAAGTTAGAACTTTCATAGACGTTTTCTCAAAAACGGCTAGACCGATTTCAAAAATTTAAAAGTTAATCGATGTATTTCGATGTGGATTATCTTTTCTCAGTTTTGTGCGACGATTGGCTTAGCCTTTTCTTTGTAAATAGCATAAAAGTGAAAAAAAATCGTCCACGTTTTAGCTCTCAATTCTGAATCGATATTGGTTGGGAATGATAATGATTAGTTTAAGTAAAAATCTACGGGGCCGTTTTTTTGTGATAAACTGTTGCAGAGAAAAAAATTGCCGATTTTTATGAAACTTTTTTGACGATAGATTCATAGTCTTATAGAACATACTAAAATGTTACGGCCCTACGGCAAATAGTTCAATGTTAAAAATCAAAGTTTGACTAAATATTATAGTCAAAATTTGTGTCAAAAGTTGATTTTGTAATGTGATGAGTCAAACATTATCAATTCATTGAAATTTAAAATAATAAGTTGCAATTTTAAAGCATACAAGCACGTGTCTGTGCAATATAATTAATATAGTTACAGTTAATTTAAAATTGTTTGAGAAAATTCTATTAGAAATCGCAATGTTTAGATTTATATAATTGAAAGCAATAACTTTATTTTTAAAATAAACAGTTAAAAATTTTATCTAAACATCTAAATGTCAATTTGCATTGACGAAGTCAATTCTTACACATTTCGGGAAGTTCATGCAACTTTCCTTAAGGCTAAATGCCACTTTCAACAAGTTTATATTTTAATTAAATGTATATTTATATACATATAATTAGTGCAAATGACTGCAAAATTCTTTATGTGCTTTCGCAATTAAATGCCGAAAAAAAATTGACAATTTTGATAAGTCTTTGTATAATATATTCGAAAAAAGTTAATTACGAAAATTGTTTTCAATAACGTACTGTTTCAAAATTTCAAAATCCAAGCGTCATAATTTTAGCCAGTGGTAAATGGCATCGTGCCTTAAGGCAAATTGTTGGAACTTCCCGTACGAAAAATATTAAATGTTTTCCAATAGATTATTATAAATACTGTAACATTAACTAATATTTATATAATATTTACAATTATATAAACAAAATTACAAAGTTAAAATTATTTATTAACTTCCCGCAGGGTAAGTTATAGTAATCGCAACAAAATCGAAAATAAAAATTTCTGCATATCTTAACGTTTTGAAGGTTTTTGAACATTTTGGCATGCCTTAAAAAATGGAAGTATGTGTGTGTGTATGTTTGGACACAATTTTTCGTCCACGATTTAGGGCGCACGAAACAACCGATTTGAATGATTAAAAAAACATTCGACTCATATTGATGAGTTTAGCAAAGGTCGGTCCAGCCGTTTTGGAGTTACGGAGCAAAGAGTGCAGAAAATAGAAATTTAGTTTTTGAGAGAACGGAGCATCCGATTTGAATGATTCAAAAAACTTTATTCTTGTGTTGACCAAACTATTATTTTTGAGAAAAGATTTTTTTTTCATTTTTTTTAATTTTCAAAAAATTTTTTTTGAATAACAAACATAATTCGGATTTTCAAAATTTTAGTTCGGTACGGGAAATTCCAGCAATTTGCCTCAAAGCACGATGCCATGCACCACTAATTTATATTAGACTTAATTGTCATCTCGTACAAAGCAAAAAAGTTGTACTAGTAATCGCGTGTGTATAAATAAAATCAAAACTAGTAGTGTATAGTATTGTGCCTTAAGACAAATTGCTAGAAATTCCTGTACTGTAACGAAATGTTCGAAGAATATTAAATGTTTTCAAAAAAACTGCATTTTTTTTGTACATTTAGCTCTGTATCTTTGAAATGGCTGGACCTACCTGTGACAAAGACTAATCACCACTTCTCCTGATCGTTACAATTTGAATATTTTTTGTGTCATTCAAATCGGATGCTCCGTTCTTTCAAAAACTCGATCTCTATTTTCTGCACTCTTTGCTCCGTATGTCCGTCGACCTGCCTTTGCCAAAAACTAATCAGCACATCTCCCTCTCCCAACCATCGAATGTTTTGTAACCATTCAAATCGGTTGATCGGTTGAAAAATTGCGGACATGCAAAACACACACACATCCATTTTTTTTAAGTATGCCAAAATCTTCAGAAACCTCTGAAACCTAAGAATATGCAACAATTTTCATTTTCGATTTTCGGCTACGAGAAGTTAAATGTTTTAAAAGTGGATGGTCTAACAAACTTCCGATGTCGTCTTTTTTCGTCCTAGGCGTGACCAAAAAGTTTTTCTTCAAAATTTTAAGTCGGCCCATGTAAGGGTACCTTTCGTTTGGATAGTTTTGAGAAAATATATATGATATAAACTCAAAATTCATAATCTAGTATGATTTTCTTATGTGGGGGTACATACTATTTCATCAATATCAATTAAACCTTACCGACTAAAGTGTTTGTTTTCTTTGCTTGAATGTCTTTAATCTTAACAAATTCATAACTGTCTTTTCGCACTTTATTACCAACATCCAAACACTCTGCGACTTGAGTATCATTTCTTAATACTATTTCATAATCGTTGAAGGTACGAAATTCTTTTTTGCGTAGTTTCACATCAAATTTTGATATAGTGTAAATCTTTCCTTCCTGCAATAATTAAAAAAATATTCATTAGTATTATTAGTAAAATAAGAATTATGAACGGCGAAATTCAATCTCTTATCAAATCGACAACGACAAATTACGTTTAAAAGACAGTAAACAAATATGAATCATTGAAATTTTCATGAATTAATTGTTAAATTTTTATAGTTAAATAAACATAGGTAAACAGCTACTTTAAGGCAAAAGTTAACTCAGGTTTGTCTGACACGTTTCCAATCGATGCTGGCTGTGGTACCCAAAAAAGTATTAGAAAGAAAATATACATCCTAGGTATACAGGGTGGCTGATATGTAATGCAACAAAGTAAAGCGCTATAACTTTCTCATTTTCATTTGAAATTTCATTGTTCTAAAGCAAAAATGTTGGAAATAACATCAAATTTTAGAATAAGTTTAGATTTGTTCTAATTGGCCACCTTTGGCACGAATTATGGCTTTCAAACGGCAGAAGAACCATAACACGCTGCACGAAAGTGGCTCTGGTGTATTTTGGCCTATTCCCGGCGAGGCGCCTTCTTGGGATGATCGACAATTTGGTATTTTTAGTGCAAACCTTACTCTCCAAAATATCCAAGACACAAAAGTCCAACGAATTTAGATCCAGAGATTTTGGTGGCTATTGTGCGATGGAAATAAAGCAAAAGACCTCTTTTTTAAGCCATTTTCGGTAGACGCGTACTGAGTTTGGTGGTGCTGAGTCTTTTTGGAATGGCCATGGTCTGCGGCCAATGGTCTACCCAGGACTTCAATACTGCCTTTAAGACATTTTTCCGATAATCTCGGCAATTATTTTGATTTGACGGTCGATGAATAGGAGCGGAATGTCACCATTGGCCGTTACGGTGGTTCACACCATTACCGTCGGCGGCGCTTGAGTTCTGGTGGCCAATCGAAGATGTAAATTTTTAGCTGACCTTTTTGGCAAGTAAACCCCATTTTGTTTGTTCACAAACTGCTCGATTTGGAATGACTTCCCATCTGAGAAGACCAAATTCGGTAACTAGTCACTTTCGTGCAAGCGAAGCAACGCCTTGGCTCTTTCCCTTCTAACTTTTCTTTGTGTATCGATGAGCTCTTGCACTTTTTGGAACTTTAATGGCTTTAGTCCAAGCTCATTTTTCAATGTGTGTTGCATCCGTTTTTGCGATATGTTCAGCTCACGAGCCATTTTTTTACCACTGCGACACGAATTTCGACCGATTTTTTGGACTCGGTGCAACACTGAGTGTATCACGGTTACGAGATATGGTACGAGAAACAAAATATTTGTTCGCATTTAAATGCTGGAAAGCTTTAACGATAGCCACTTAAGGTTTTTCAGCCAAATATGAAGCAATCGCACTATCACGCTTGACTTCCATCACGAATAACCCTTTTTCTGAATGCAATGGATCAAAATGCTCTTGTACGCTTGTAAACAACTAAATGAACAACCACTGGATTAAATTTGTCATCTGTCTGATGAGCGGTTTAGAAATGATAGCGGTCTGAAATTGGTTGCAATACATATCTGCCACCCTGTATATCTCGATTCTTAATTAACGAGGTAGTATCAAATATGCATAAAAATGAAACACCTCAGGTAAAGAGTCAAAAATACATACAATACACAAATAGATTACAATTAATCTATGAAATGAGCCATCGTCAGAATAGTTACGGTATCTAACTTTAATAGCTCGGCCAATTTAAGCATTCAAGGTTACAATTATTGATAATGGGCTGTAACTAGGCAAAATTGTTTAAAATACAATTATAAAAGAAATCTCAGAGTCCTCATCGTTTCGTTAAATGACACAAGGTCAAAAGTCCAAAAAATGACATTTTCGCGATTTTTAGCTAAATGCTGAAGCCAGTTTTATTACAAGATTATCTGAGACATATATTTATACAAAAATATATTGTAACCGTTCAATATTTTATTAAATTTATTTAAATAATCGATTTATAAAAACTGTAGTACCTGAATCATTTCATAAAACTTATGGCATTGATCATTGAAAGCAACTGCTCTGATTTTTCCACTATTATCAGACAACGCCATACTAAAACAGTGGCCATTGCCATTTTTATTACTCCATGGTTTTTTATCCGACTTTTCTTCGACCTTGGCTTTGATTGTCCAACTATTTCAGAAAAAAAACAACATAATAATATTGTATATATTATATAAACCTATATAAACTTTACTAATAAATAAATACTTCATAATCACTTGCATATTTTCTTTAAACTGTTCAGAAATAAATGGGTTAAGAAAAAACTAAGCGTCGTTTTTTTAGTAAAATACAACCGATTTCCTTATAAAGTAAAAGTGAAATTATTTTATTGATTTATTTAATTTACAAGCCGTCAGTATAATGGTATTATAATAAGGCTCGTGTCAATATTTTTTAAATTTAAATAATTAGCAATTTAATAAATATAGATACTTTTACAAAATAATTATTTTATTCAACACATTTTTAGATATTTCATGATGACTATTTAGTTTAACAAATTACTGCACATTAAATATAATATATAGTTTGCTGTTGTGACGAGCACAGTAGGCATTGCTGGTGGGTGACACATCAGTTAGTTTGGGTCCGTAGATTCGTAGGCGTTTCTATCATAATCGATCCATACCTAAATATGCTCCGTAATTATCGGCAATGTTTCGCCATTTTTCGTGTAGAGTCCCGATGTCATCGATAAAGAATTTCTGTGGTTTCTGTGATGGTCAGAGGATTCCAAGTCTGCCGATTTCACAATACCGTATTGCGACAAAACTTACCAACTGAGTTCTCGCGATTTTTGGCGGGTTATCAAAAAAGTCTAGGAGCGGGCATTGTTAAGGTATAAAACAATAGTTGCCTGACGTATTATCTCTAGTTGTTAACAGTACAGTTGAGAATCAATCGCCTGACCAACTGGAAGTAGCCCAGGGTGAAGGTTTTCCTTTTAGTCCCATCATACACACTGCATTTTTTTGCCGCCAATTTTCAATTTCAAAATTTTCTGACCAACATCGAGCTCCTTCAATATCGACAGTGCAGATCAGGTTATGTTACTGCACTTTTTCAAAAATTTAATTACTTTTTTCAGTGACTGGACGATCAGAGTGCGGCTAATTTCCAGATCAAAATTAGCAGAAGGAAAGCGAGAAAATCATCTCCACGCAGCAGATTTTTTTAAAGAACCTTCACCAATTTTCTGACCGATTTTTTTACAGCGTTTTTCACTTACGCAGCGTTTTTTCCTTTATCGTGACAATGTTGCAAAACAGAGCCAAATTTTCATTATTTTTGTCCATTTTACAACGCACATAACTTTCAAACACTGTACCAATTTAAAATCTTACTAAAATAAATCTTGAAGCGTTACTAATCAAACAAGTGGTGTCGCTACGATTTGTATTTAACGAATTATGTGCAAATATAAAAAAACGCCACTAATCTTCTCCTTGAATTGTCATTAGAAACAAATAGTAGGCTATTAGATATAGTATTGACTATCGCTTACTATTATCATGACGGTGCAATAAGCAAAAATCAAATACAAAATATGGTAATGCCCAATTTTAATAAACAATATTAATCAAATTTGAATTATCTAAGTTGAACAATCTTATAAAGTTGAAAACTTACTTTTGTTGCGAATGAGTCAAAGAAGCAATATTACTTATGTCATTCTCATATCTCCGTTTTTTATTATACGAGTTTCCGGTACTTGGGGACGGAACACCTGATGAAAAAATCAATTTTTATTATCAGATGGACCATTTCAATACACTCACTTTTGACCTAAAGATTATAATGTGATCTAAAGTTGAAACTTGCAGCAAACAAAAAACAACTCACAACAAATTAAATGTGTTAAATAACAACAGTATATCTAATATATTAATATGTGTATTTTCTTTGCTTACCTGTAACAGCTTCTGACACACCGGAGCTAGAAGTTTGACCAGCCCTGTCATCGATCAAGGCCCTTATGGTTATTTTTCGGCTGAAAATATATTTCACAAATCAAAAATACATCCATCCCACTAACACTGCTTACGACTAGTTACAATCTTGTAAATAGAGCAATCTTTGCCAGCTCACATAAAAGTTTATTTATTAACTTCCCGAAGAAGAAGTTTAATCCGATTCGCTAAATTTATGTTTCCTCGACGTTTAAAATCATTCCGGATCGGATGACACCAAATTTGGAGAAAGTATGTCTGTGTGTGTGAGCCTATTTTTCACATCGACGTTTTCTCGAAAATGGCTAGACCGATTTAAAAAATTTAAGATCCATTGGATGTATCTTGAGGATTATTGTTGGTTACATTTGCGCGATGATCAGCCGAGTCGCTTCTTTGTAATCAGCAGAAAAGTGTAAAAAATTTCGTCTATGTTTTAGCCCACAGTTTTGAACCGATTTGAAAAAATTAATATCCATTCGAAAGATATTGATTGGGAATCGTGTTGATTGGTTTTTGATAAGGATCGGTTGAACCGTTTCTTCGTTATTAGATGTTAAATAATTTCTTTTTTATGAAACTGTATGACGCTAGATAACATAAAGAGTTGTAAGCGCAATATATTTATAAGATTATTGAAGTTCATTTTAGATAGATATTAATAGTATAGTTTATGAAATTAAATGTGTTTGATTGAAAATCATCTAGATGTTATATTATGTTCATCAGTGTTACATTACATGATTCAATTCTGGCAAATTTATAATGTAGTTTGTCATTTTCCTAAAAACAAGACAAATCTAATAAACAAAGCAATTATATTCAATATATTAATATCGATTTATGAAAATACAAAAGTGATGTTGTTTGTGATAATAGTCTGGGCGAAAAGTTTAACGCTTCTTTTCAAATTACAAAGAAACGGCTCGGTCGATCGTCGCACAAAACTGAAAAACAATAGTCCTCATCGAGATGCATCAAAATTTTTGAAATCGGTTTAGCCGTTTTTGAGAAAAACGTTGATGAAAGGTCTAATTTTGACAAATGCCAAAAAAGCGATACTATTTTTTGCAAACTTTGACGAATTCTCAAAATTAAACGACTTGTCGTAGGGCAGTAATATTTTACTATGATCTATAAGACTATGGTATCTGCCCTCAATTTTTTTTATAAAAATCGTCGTTTTATGAAAATAATTTTTTTTAACACTTTATTACAAGAAAACGACCCGGACGATCTTTACCAAAAACTAATCAGCGTGATTCCTAACCAATATCTTTCAAATGGTTTTTGAATTTTCAAAATCGATTCAGAATTGCGGGCAATTATAAACGGCTTAAGCATGCCGAATGGTCTTTGATGGATGCGCCAAAATAAAAAGTAGAACGCTCGGATATATCAAGGGAAGAAATTAACCACTTAACGGTCACCCACGAACACTGCTCGCGCCTAGAAGTCGTACCCTCAGTACCCTCCTAGAACTTTTGCCGCCCGGGGCGGTCTTCAGATTGCCGCCCTTTCAATTTTAAGTCAGTCAAATAGTAGTTTTCATAAATTAATACAAATGAACTAGTGGTGCATGGCATCGTGCCTGCAAAGGCAAATTGCTGGCACTTCCTGTACCGAAATGTAAAATTTTTAAAAAAGATTAAAAAAATTTTGAAATCTGAAAAAAATATATTTTCGAGAATTTCGAAAATTTTGAAAAAAATGGCTATTTTTAAAATTTTTTTTTTATATTTTGAAATTTTTTGAAAATTTGTAACTTTTTTTTAAATCAATCGCACTGCGCGGCTGTTTTGGAGACGAAATATCGAAGCGAAACGGCTAGACATTGATACGGAACCTAAAGAAATGTAAATTAAATTTGTTCTTAATAATAAAATCTCTAGAAAATATCAGATAATTTGACGTGGATATGTCTAATGATCATTTTGGACCGCCAAATATGTCATTTTTTTACTTTTTAACTTCCCGTGGGGTAAGTTATAGTAATCGCAAAAAAATCGAAAATGAAAATTTTTATATATCTTTACGTTTCAGAGGTTTCTGAACATTTTGGCATACCTTAGAAAAAATGGATGTATGTGTGTGTGTGTGTGTGTGTGTATGTATGTATGTATGTATGTATGTATGTATGTACGTGTGTGTATGTATGTGCGGATACAAATTTTCGTCGACGATTTCGGGAACACGGATCAACCGATTTGAATAATTCAAAAAACATTCGATTCGTATTGATAAGGAGACGTGCTGATTAGTTTTTGGCAAAGGCAGGTCCAGCCGTTCCGAAGATACGGGGCAAAAAGTGCCAAAAACAGTACCTCCGTTTTTAAGAGAACGGAGCGTCCGGTTTGAATAATTCAAAAAACATTTTACTTGTATTGACAAGATGTAGAATTGATCAAATTTTCATGAAGGCAGGTCTAGCGGTTTCGGAGATCTAATGAAAAAAGTAAAAAAAAAATGCCATTCGGCGGTTAAAAATGATCATTAGACATATGCACATCAAATTGCCAGATATTTTATAGAGATTTTAACAATAAGTATAATTTTTTTTTACATTTCTGTGGGTTCCGTACCAATGCTTATGCGTTAGACGGCGGCGCGGCACCTGCGAGCTTTGACATTTCGTCTCTACGCAGTTCAAGCAGTGCGATTGTGCTTTGAACTAGCTGTAAGTGGAATTCTGTCTTAAGGCAATTAAGGCATCGTGCCTTAAGGCAAATTGCTGGAACTTCCCGCACCAAAAATTATTATTTTTTTAAAAACGATTAACATTTTTGAAAAAAAAAAATTACTTTGAAAAAATAAGATTTTTGAGAAACTATAAATTGGACAAAAAATTACTTTTTTTTGAAAAAATTTTTTTTTTAAAAAAAATTTTTTTTTTAATTTTTTTTTTTTTGCTTTTTTTTGAAGATTTTTTTTTTTATTTTGACATGTTGTGGAAGATCTGAACTTTCTTTTCAAAGCAATCGTACTGCTTTAACTGCATAGGGACAAAATATAAAGCGCGTAAGCGCCGCGTCGCTGTCTAACGCATAAGCATTGGTACGGAACCCATAGGAATGTTAACAAATTGTATACTTATTGTTAAAATCTCTATAAAATATCTGATAATTTGATGAGCATATGTCTAATGATCATTTTTGACCGCCAAATGGCTCATTTTTTTACTTTTTTCTCCATATCTCCGAAACCGCTAGACCTACCTTCATGAAAATTTTATCGATTCTTCATTTTGTCAATACAAGTGAAATGTTTTTTGAATTATTCAAATCGGACGCTCCGTTCTTTCAAAAACTGAGTTACCGTTTTCGGCACTTTTTGCCCCGTATCTTCGGAACGGCTAGACCTGCCTTCGCCAAAAACTAATCAGCACGTCTCCTTATCAATACGAATCGAATGTTCTTTGAATTATTCAAATCGGTTGACCCGTGTTCCCGAAATCGTCGACGAAAATTTGTATCCGCACATACATACACACACGTACATACATACATACATACACACACACACACACACACATACACACACACACACACACACATACATCCATTTTTTCTAAGGTATGCCAAAATGTTCAGAAACCTCTGAAACGTAAAGATATATAAAAATTTTCATTTTCGATTTTTTTGCGATTACTATAACTTGCCCTACGGGAAGTTAAAAAAAGTTCAGAATTTTCAAAATATGTCAAAATGAAGAAAACATTTTTTTTTCAAAAAAATTTTTTGTTTTCAAAAAAAAATTTTATTCTCAAAAAAAAATTTTTTTTTCAAATAAAAAAAATTTTTTTTCAAAAAAACGGTATTTTTTTGTCAAATTTATAGTTTCTCAACAATCTATTTTTTTCGAAGTAAAATTTTTTCAAAAATGTTAATCGTTTTTAAAAAAATAATAATTTTTGGTACGGGAAGTTCCAGCAATTTGCCTTAAGGCACGATGCCCTAATTGCCTTAAGACAGAATTCCACTTACAGCTAGTTCTTATTGATTCTCCGTAATCGCTAGACCTCTAGACCTGTCATCCCAAAAACAGTTCTTTGTTTAGTCAATACAAATAAAATGTTTTTTTAAATTACTTAAAACGGACGCTTCGTTCTCTCAAGAACTAAATTACAATTTTTGGCTGTTTTGCCCCGTATATTTTAAACGGCTGGACCCGTTTTGCCAAAAACTAAGTAGCACGTTTTATCAGTACGAATCGAATGTTTTGTTCAAATAGGTTGATGCGTGTTCCTACAATCATCGACGAAAGTTTGTATCTAAACACACACATCCATTTTTTCTAAGATATTTCAAAATTCAGAAACCGCTGAAACGTGAAGATATATAAAAATTTTTACTTTCGACATTTTTGCGATTACTATATATAACTTACCCTACGGAAGTTGAAAAATTATCAAGTTATTTAATCAATATTAATTAATACACAGAGTATTTTTTCAGACATATTTATATGCACTCATCAACATATTTATATAATGCCCTAAGGCTTTGCAGACCTAGCAGACCCGCCTTCCGCCAGCCCTGATTTTCAAAAGAAAAATTGACGATTTAAAAGCTGATATAAAAAAATAGGAAAAATCGCTGAACAAAATCGTAAAGATGCTTATACGAATTCAACGAATTTTAATGAATACAATAAAATAAAATTATTAACCTGTTCTTAAATTAGAAAATTCAAAATTTACACTGATATACATATATATACACCGAGGAATAAAATTCTAAATCATATGGTTAATCATAATTTATATAAATCAAATATTGACAATAATAACAATCATAATGATCATTTATAATTCAAGAAAGAAAACTAGTTGGTACTGGTATTTTGCCTTGAGGCAAGTTACATGAACTTCCCGAAATGTGTAAATAATCGACTTAATCAATAAAAAATAAATTAATTTATGAGTGATTAAAAGTATTCCGAGTGGATTTATCACACATCATTGCAAACGAACGAACGAACACGTTATCTCGGAGTATTTTCTAAAAGCAAATTTTCAAAAATCAATAATTTTAATTAATCAATAATTATAATTGAACCAATTTCCATAGGACTTTAATGGTTTACTATGTTCAAGATCAAGTAAACTATCGTTATATCAACTAAATCATCTAATTTTATTTTTAACAAACGTTAAAAAAACATTTTTTCTAACTTTGATAATAAATAAATTACTTGTCGTAAGGCCGTAATAATTCAGTAAGTTCTGTAAGCCAATGATATACATCGCCAAAGAAAGTTTCATAAAAATCGGCTTAATTTTTTTTTCAAAAGTTAATTACAAGAAAACGGTTCGGTAGATTTTCACCTAAAACTGATCAGTATCCTTCCCAACTAATATCTTACGAACAATTTTTAATTTTTTAAAATCGGTTCGGTAGTATGAGCTTAAATGTAGACGAAAGGTTTAACACTTCTTTCCAAATTACAAAGAAACGGCTCGGCCGATCGTCGCACGAAACTGAGAAACGATATGCCTCATCGAGATACATCAAATGGCTTTTAAATTTCTGAAATCGGTTCAGGCGTTTTTGAGAAAACGTTGGTCAAAGGTCTAATTTTGACAAATGCCAAAAAAACATACTAATTTTTGCAAACTTTGACGAATTTTTAAAGCTAAACCAGTTGTCGTAGGACCGTAATATTTTAGTATGATCTAGAAGATTATGGTATCTACCGTCAAAAAATGATTTATGAATTGTTGATGATAATTGATCATAAAAATCGTCGAGATTTTTTTTTAAAAAAACTTTGGGTTGAAACGTCGAGAAAACATAAAATTGGCGATTCGGATTTTTTGAATCATTCAAATCGGATGCTTAGTCTCAAAAACAGATATTTTTTGTGCGTACCCTAACGGGCTAACTCGAGCGCTGCTCGCCAAAGACAATGTTTATGTTTTATGCGATAAAAGGCTTACGATGGCCAGTTATCGGGATATGTTTAGTTTAGATATGATAAGTACAGATCAATCAATAATTGTATATATAATAAATTATTCTTTAACGACTTGTGACATTAGAAATAAACATATAAAAACGCCTTTCTAAATATTCCTCAAGGGACATGTTATTGTTATATGTTTGGGTTATTTTCAATAGTAATCAATCAATAATTATACTGGGTTGTTTTATCTATAATTAGGCAAAAATCCATCTATTTTATTTTTAACTTCATGAATTTTTGAGCAGAATAACTGATTTACTTGAATTTTCTTATTTGTTTAAAAATTTGTTATATTCTTTTTAGATAAATAGATATTATTACAATTTAAATGTTATTAAATAAAAATTTTGCATTATTTATCATATTATAACACAATAATTTATACATAAAGCATAAATGTAGTCCAAAAACCACCAAAACGGTCATCGGTATTATAATATATTGTTAATTTTAAACAAAAATAAAATAAATCAAAAGAAAATGTTATCAGAAACACATATTACATCAATTGAACTTTTAAAATCCGAAATAAAATAACCTGCTCTTTTAGATCACTTTTCACGAAAAAAAACCCGACCGTTAAGTGGTGGTAAAAACTAGTTGGTTTGGTATTTAGCCTTGAGGCAAGTTACATGAACTTCCCGATATGTGTAAATAATTGACTTAATCAAAAAAAAAAATGATACTTCATCAATCCTACTTTAAAAAAAACGATAATAATTTTAGCAAAGTTATTATACGAATTTTTAATTATTAGACGAATTTTTAAAATTAAACTACTTGTCGTAATGCCGTAATATTACAGTAAGTTCTATAATACCATGATGTATATCGCCAAAAAAAGTTCCATGAAAATCGGCTTAAATTTTTTTTTCAACAGTTCATTACAAGAAAACGGCTCGGTAGATTTTCACCTAAAATTAATCAGTATCATTCCCAACTAATATCTTTCGAATAGTTTTTGATTTTTTAAAATCGGTTCGGTAGGATGAGCTTAAATGTGCACGAAAAGTTTAACACTTTTTTCCAACAGTTAATTACAAGAAAACGGCTCGGTAGATTTTCACCAAAAATTAATCAGTACCATTCCCAACTAATATTTTTCGAACAGTTTTTGATTTTTTAAAATCGGTTCGGTAGGCTGAGCTTAAATGTGGACGAAAAGTTTAACACTTTATTTCAACAGTTAATTACAAGAAAACGGCTCGGTAGATTTTCATCTAAAATTAATCAGTACCATTCCCAACTAATATCTTTCGAACAGTTTTTGATTTTTTAAAATCGGTTCGGTAGGATGAGCTTAAATGTGGACGAAAAGTTTAACACTTTTTTTCAAATTATAAAGAAACGGCTTGGCAGATCGTCGCACAAAACTGACAAACGATAGTCCTCAACGAAATACATCAAATGGCTTTTAAATTTCTGAAATCGGTTAAAGCGTTTTTGAGAAAACGTCGATCAAAGATTTCATTTTGACAAATGTCAATAAAACGATACCAATTTTTGCAAACTTTGACGAATTTTTAAAGCTAAACGAGTTGTCGTAGGGCCGTAATATTTTAGTATGACCTAGAAAACTATGGTATCTACCGTCAAAAAAAAAATCATAAAAATCGTCGATTTTTTTTTTTAAAAAAACTTTATTACAAGATAACGGCCCGGCCGATCTTCACCAAAAACCAATCAGCACGATTCCCAACCAATATCTATCGAATGGTTTTTGAATTTTCAGAATCGATTCAGAATTGCGGGCTAAAACGTGGACGAAAAATTTTTCACTTTTCTGCAATTTACGAAGAAACGGCCCGGCCGATCGCCGCACAAAACTCAGAAACGATAGTCCTCATCGAGATACATCGAATGGCTTTTAAATTTTTGAAATCGGTCCAGCCGTTTTGGAGAAAACGTCGATTTACGGCAAAAAATCTGTTCACACACACACACACACACACATACACACACACACACATACTTTTTCCAAATTTGGTCTCATTCGATTCAGAATGGCTTGAAACGTCGAGAAAACATAAAATTAGCGAATCGGATTTTTTGATGAAAACAAACTTCTCCTTCGGGAAGTTAATTATAAAAATAAAAAGCCATATGTATGTTGCTGGGTTATCAGATTAATAGTAAAAAAATAACTGACAATTTTTTTTATTATTAGCTATAATTTATTTCAAAACTTTAAACGCGTTTTTCTCGAAACATGATTTTACTACACGGCACGCAAAATAACTACAACAATTTGAATTTTTTTTATTCAAATTTTTACAGTATATTTAAAATTATATTTTTAAGTGCCCATCATAGCGGATCTTCTATACGTTAATTTGTTCATTTATTATTAACAAATTACTATCCGTTTTTTTTCGTTGAAATTTAACGATTTTGAATAAAATGCTCACCAAACAAACAAAAATCGATATTTTTTAAATCCGCTATGATGGACACTTTAAAATGTTATTTTAAATACACTATTGAAAATTCGAATGAAAAAAATTAAAATTGTTGTAGTAATTTTGCGTGCCGCGGACCTGACGCTTGGTTCGCTGTTTTTAATTTTTATTTAAAATTATATTTTATTTTATATACTTTAATGTACTATAAATAACTATTTTCAATATCATGATTTTATTAACTTCCCGAAGGAGAAGTTTATGTTTTCATCAAAAAATCCGAATCGCTAATTTTATGTTTTCTCGACTTTTCAAGCCATTCTGAATCGAATGAGACCAAATTTGGAAAAAGTATGTGTGTGTGTGTGTGTGTGTGTATGTGTGTGTGTATGTGTGTGTGTGTGTGTGTGTGTGAACAGATTTTTTGCCGTAAATTGACGTTTTCTCAAAAACGCCTGAATCGATTTCAGATATTTAAAAAGCATTTGATGTATCTCGATGAGGATTATCGTTTCTCAGTTTTGCGCGACGATCAGCCGAGCCGTTTCTTTGTAATTTGGAAAAAAGTGTTAAACTTTTCGTCCACATTTACGCTCATCCTACCGAACCGATTTTAAAAAATCAAAAACTGTTCGAAAGATATTAGTTGGGAATGGTACTGATTAATTTTAGGTGAAAATCTACCGAGCCGTTTTCTTGTAATTAACTGTTGAAAAAAAGTGTTAAATTTTCGTCAATATTTAAGCTCATCCTACCGAACCGAATTTAAAAAATTAAAAACTGTTCGAAAGATATTAGTTGGGAATGGTACTGGTTAGTTTTAGGTGAAAATCTACCGAGCCGTTTTCTTGTAATTACCTGTTGAAAAAAATTTAAGCCGATTTTCATGGAACTTTTAGTTATATTATTTACTCATTTTTTTATCGGGAAGTTCATGTAACTTGCCTCAAGGCTAAATACCAAACCAACTAGTTACTTTTCCTTCCGCCCGAAAAAAATTACAAAAACATATGTTTTTTTGCTATTACAGCGGTGTAACTCTTTAAGTGTATATAATCCCTTAAGCATTTGTACGATGGCCCCTGACCAAATGATGTAAATCAAAAGCCAATAAAATTTAAAATATGTTCAGCAGTTTAGGGCTCCATTCCGAACCAACATCGTGCAACGTACTTTATATATATTTTTGAACATTTACACTATCGCTATTGTTAAATTTTACATACTTGCCGCACTGGTAAGCCATCGCTAGCAAACACAATTTTTATACATACAGCAACTTAATTTTCTGCCGAAATTTAACACTTGCAATTATTTACTTGCCCAAATAAGTATTAAGGTGTTGACAATACAAAGGCATTAATGCGCACTACCGCAGATTTCTCATAAACATGTCTCAATAGGTCATACGTACACTATTATCTTATCATTCAACATATTGATAACAAACAATAGATAGGTAATTAGAAATCACAACTAGCTGTAAGTGGAATTCTGTCTTAAGGCAATTAAGGCATCGTGCCTTAAGGCAAATTGCTGGAACTTCCCGTACCAAAAATTATTATTTTTTTAAAAACAATTAACATTTTTGAAAAAATTTTACTTCGAAAAAATAAGATTTTTGAGAAACTATAAATTGGACAAAAAATTACTTTTTTTGAAAAAAAAAATAGAATTTTTTTTTTAAAATTTTTTTTGAAAAAAAATTTTTTCTTTATTTTGACATATTTTGGAAGATCTAAACTTTTTTTCAAAGCAATCGTACTGCTTTAACTGCATAAAGACGAAATATCAAAGCGCGTAAGCGCCGCGTCGCCGTCTAACGCGTAAACATTGGTACGGAACCCATAGGAATGTAAACCAAAGGGTATGGGCGTGTTTCCATACAGAATTGGCCCCACCCTGGTATTTAAATAATTTTGATGCCATTTTATAGGTATTTTCGAAAAAATCCGATATACCAAATTTCAAATCCGTAGCTCATCATTTGGCCGAGATATCAGTGAAAACATGTGAAAGTGGCCCCTTTTTTCAAACTCACTTTTTGTCGGAAATATGAGAGATATCGAAAAACTGTTAACGTCATCTATTTATATTGATCTTGTCTATGTTGTTCATAACAAATAATGTGAAAAAAATATTTGGTAGTGCGAGAAAAAGTGAAAATAATTTTTTGTTTTGAATTTTCGGGTAGTGCAGTTGTTTGGACTAATTTTTAATTAGCATGATTAGAAAGGCTATTAAATTTTCTTTTAGTGTGCAAAATTTTGTTTTATTTCATGTGGTAGAACACATTCAAAAGTAGGAAAAACCTGAGCAAGTACACGCTCGCGCTCATATAGAACCCGTGTAAGTCGTCTCTCATTCGCAACGACTAGCAACAGCATTGCTCGCCGCGCGTCTTGATAAATTAAAACATTTTTAATAAAACACCAGATATATACATTTATATTTTAAATAATTATATATTTATATGTATATGTATAATAATAACTATATTTTTATATAATTAAATATTTATTATTTATATATTGCACAATATATTATATGATTTAATCATCATTAATAATTTATTAATTAATTATTACTTATTAATTATCTATTAATTATCATTTGTTAATTATTAATACCACTAAATAAATAAAAAATGGATTGATAAAAAATATACATAATAATAATATATCGGTATATGATTACTATTCATGCCACAGCAATGTATACAAATGCAAGTATACTAAGTTAGTCATAAATATATTAAATAATATCTTGAAGTTTTTTTTTAAATTAAATAATATATAAGAATATATTGAATAGAATATCTCAACCTATAAATACTCATAATAATTATTGAACTGCTGCACTATTGTAATATCATCCTTAATTAAAACGATATTTGAAATTTTGCGGCATTATAATTATATATTGTATTGTGGTAATAACTCAATTATATACTAATCAAGTTAAATTGGTACAAAGGTGTAGAGCACACAAAAATTAAAAAAAGCATTATTTATTTAATAATTATCAAACTTCATGATTAGTTAAATTCGAAAATTATATTAATTTTATGCTGTCTGCATTTCGTTATCTTATGTATGGTCTTTGCGAGCAAAATTTCAAATATCGTTTTAATTAAGGATGATATTACAATAGTGCAGCAGTTCAATAATTATTATGAGTATTTATAGGTTGAGATATTCTATTCAATATATTCTTATATATTGTTTAATTTAAAAAAAACTTCAAGATATTATTTAATATATTTATGACTAACTTGCGAGCAATGCTGTTGCTAGTCGTTGCGAATGAAAGACGACTTACACGGGTTCTATATGAGCGCGAGCGTGTACTTGCTCAGGTTTTTCCACTTTTGAATGTGTTCTACCACATGAAATAAAACAAAATTTTGCACACTAAAAGAAAATTCAATAGCCTTTCTAATCATGCTCTCATATCATTTGATATCTCTCATATTTCCGACAAAAAGTGAGTTTGAAAAAAGGGGCCACTTTCACATGTTTTCACTGATATCTCGGCCAAATGATGAGCTACGGATTTGAAATTTGGTATATCGGATTTTTTCGAAAATACCTATAAAATGGCATCAAAATTATTTAAATACCAGGGTGGGGCCAATTCTGTATGGAAACACGCCCATACCCTTTATACTTATTGTTAAAATCTCTAAAAATTTGATGTGCATATGTCTAATGATCATTTTTGCCAAATGGCATTTTTTTTTTACTTTTTTCATTAGATCTCCGAAACCGCTAGACCTGTCTTTATGAAAATTTAATCGGTTCTTCACCTTGTCAATACAAGTAAAATGTTTTTTGAATTATTAAAATCGGACGCTCCGTTCTATTAAAAACTGAGGTACCGTTTTTGGCACTTTTTGCCCCATATCTTCGGAACGGCTAGACCTACCTCCGCCAAAAACTAATCAGCACGTCTACTTATCAATACGGAAAAATGGATGTATGTGTGTGTGTGTATGTGTGTGTGTGTGTGTGTGTGTGTATGTGTGTGTGTGTGTGTGTGTGTGTGTGTGCGTAGTATGTATGTGTGTGCGGATACAAATTTTCGTCGACGATTTCGGGAACACCGATCAACCGATTTGTATAATTTAAAAAACATTCGATTCGTATTAATAAGGAGATGTGCTGATTAGTTTTTAGCGAAGACAGGTCTAGCTGTTCCGAAGATACGGGACAGAAAGTGCCAAAAACGGTAACTCAGTTTTTAAGAGAACGGAGCGTGCGATTTTAATGATTCAAAAAACATATTACTTTTATTGACGAAATGAACAACTTTTAGTAAGGCAGTCGTTATGGATTCTCAATAAAAATAAGTTAAAAATAGTGGGGCGCATGGCATCGTGCCTTAAGGCAAATTGCTGGAATCAATAATTGTTTTAAAGATTTCCAAATAGATTATCTTTTATATATATATATATATATATATATATAATATATACATACATATATATATATATATATATATATATATATAAATATATATATATATATATAAATAAGTCGGGTTTTCCTTCCTGACGAAATAACTCCAGAACGCACAAACCGATTTCGACAATTATGCATTGTGTTGGAAAGGTCTCAGGCTCCGAAAGGTTTATAGCTAAGAAGATTAATGGTGCATGGTGCCCTAATGCAAATTGCTGGAACTTCATGCACCGTAATTAAAAATTCGAGTAATGACATTAGTGAGAATTATCAGAATTATGTTTGGTTAAGTCAACGAGCAATTCTTGCCGCAAAGAATAATGATGTACACGCACTGAATTTCACCATCCAATCAAAAATTGCTGGCGATTTGGTGACGTACCAATGATTCCGACTGGTCTTCCGTTTGACTTCAAACGATTGCAATTTCCAGTTCGCCTTGCGTTCGCAATAACAAGTCTCAAGGCCAATCGCTTAGTGTTTGCGGGATAAATTTCAAATAGATTATTTAGAAAATCATTGTTTTTCACATGGGCGTTATACGTTGCCTGTTCACGAGTTGGAAAACCATCCGCTTTGTTTGTGTTAACGTCAGACCAAAAAACAAAAAATGTGGTTTGCCAAAGAGCACTTCAATGAAACGGATAATTTGCGGATTCACATTCATTTACTTAGAGAAGTTCAACTAAAAAACACTTCATTTTTGTAATCGAAATAAATTCATTACTGTTGTTTAATAAAATCAAATTTTTCCTTTTCAAATATAAAACAAACAAAAAATTTGTTCATCTTTCTCACGAAACCATCTGGTGGCGAAACGGAGTTCGTCGGGTTTGCTAGTTTATTATAAAATCTCTGTAAAATATCTGATAATTTGATGTACATATGTCCAATAAACATTTTTGACCGCCAAATGGCAATTTTTCAACTTATTTTTATTGAGAGGCCATAACCGCTTGACCTGCTTTCCCTGTTCATTTCGTCAATATAGGTAAAATGATTTTTGAATTATTAAAATCGAACGCTCCTTTCTCTTAAAAACTGATTAACCGTTTTTGGCAGTTTTGGCGCCATATCATCGGAACTGCTAGACCTGCCTTTGCCAAAATCTAATCAGTACGCCTTATCGATACGAATCGAATGTTTCTTGAATTATTCAAATCGGTTAATCGGTGTTCCAGAAATCGTCGACGAAAAATTGTATCCACACACACACAAATACACACACACATACATTCATTTTTTCTAAGGTATGCCAAAGTATTCAGAAACCTTTGCAACGTAAAGATATATGAAAAATTTCATTTTAGATTTTTTTGCGATTACTATCCCCCTAAACAATTTTACATTGCCGTTAGATTGCAGTTATATAACATCTGTTACCTGTTACATTACGGCAACCTCATCAAATGCATTGCCTGAAGATTACTATTTCCGCATAAAGTGCATTACAAGGTGCATTATATTGTTAACTTACAATGCTTGACACAGTATTAAACATGTGAATATATAAGCACGTCAAGCATTGTAAGAGATAGTTGGTGGTTTTGTTTTAATTAAATATAATTTAAATAAAATATTAAATAATTCTCTATTTAATTTTTACTGTTCTAAAATTATACTAAAGATGAAGCATACCATGTATGTGCTGTATTGTTCATATTTCGTTTCACTTATATATATATATATATATTTATATATATATATATACTAGCAAACCCGACGAACTCCGTTTCGCCACCAGATGGTTTCGTAACAAGAATGAAGAAATTTTTTGTTTGTTTTATATTTGAAGAGAAAAAATTTGATTTTATTGCACAACAGTAATGAATTTATTTCGATTACAAAAATGAAGTA